CAAGTAGACAGATGTTTCTTTCCTAATCAATACCATTATAGGTCATGGTATAACATACTGATGTCCTTATAGTCTCTTAAAGGTCACAGTATCCATCATCTCAATATTTTGTTTACGTCAGATACAGCACAATGTAAATGTAAAATCATTACTTAAATGATAAGTTCACCTTTTGCACAAAAACAATAAATGCACATTTAAAAAATGCAAAAAAAATGTGTTTATTATTTTTGTCTGCAGCAGCCTGTAAAGCATTGTACCAGCAATCAGCAGATCTCTAATGCCATGCAGGTCTCCTGTAGATCTCTCAGTATATCTGCTTGCCCATACGGGTTGTATGGGCAAGCAGATATATTGACAGGAAGATTCAGTGAACTACCACACTGCTCCATGGTGCTCCACAGTAGTAGTTCACTGAAAACTACAAGCCAACAGCCGCTAAGGCTGTCAGGACTTGAAGTTCATTCATTCACAGAACTCTGAGAATGAATGATATGGCCATATGAGCAGAACCCCTAAAATGGGTGGAACGTGTAACATGTAACATGTTCCCAAAGGTGAACATATCCTTTAACTCTCTCTGTACTGCCATACATTTAAAAATGACAAAGTGGTGGTTGCTTCTTTTCTGCGGTGCCATTTTTTAAACGGCACTGTAGAAATCACCCAGGGGTGGTCACTGCTCCCTGTTAATGGCTGTGGACTAAACCATCACAGGATAGTTTGATTTATTATAGTGTACATATTCAGTCTGAGTGGCTCTATACCATGTGATCAGTGTGATGACCAACAACAGCGATAACATACAGCAGGGGTGTCCAAACTTTTTTCAAAGAGGGCCAGATTGGATGAAGTGAACATGGTGGAGGGCCGAACATTTTTCCGAACATTCTTTGAACCATTACAATTAAATGCAAATAAATTATTTTATGCCAAGTTAATTGCAAACGACACACTTTTCATTTCATAACATTAAGATCAACTGACAGCTGAGTTTTCACAATGTATTGAAAATAAATTTAAAAAAAACTTACCTGCACTAATGTGAAGGGTGAAAAAGGTAGCTGGAGCTGACATCTCTGTTCGGCAGCCGGGAGGGGAAGAGAAACACACTTCACGCTGGAAGCCCGGCCCTGACGTCACCACCCTCTGTCGCTCCCAGCGCGGCGCAGTCACGCATGCGCACTGCTCTCAAGCAGAAGACTGTCTGCCACAGAAGGGAGGGCCGTGCGACAGCCGCATTTACACAGACCAGGGAGAACGCGCCGCAGTCAGGCATGCGCACTGCCCTCTGCTCTCAAGCAGAAGACTGTCTGCCATAGAAGGGAGGGCCGTGGGAGGGCCACATTACACAGAGCAGGGAGGGCTGTTGGAGGGCCGTATTAAACCAACCCCGGGGCCGTAAATGGCCCGCGGGCCGGACTTTGGACATGCCTGACATACAGTATGTAAACAGTGCTCAGATTGGAAAGACCTCCGCTTCCTCTCACAATAGAGGAAAGGGAGGAAAGAGGAACTAAACTTCTCAGGTCTTTTGTCTCATTCTTCACAGTTATTACCTTTTGTACCACTTGCCCCTTCCCCTTAGATAGTAAGCTCCCGCAAGCAGAGCCCTCATAATCCACTTTTATCAAATTGTATTGCAACTGCTCTGGCTTTCTTTATTTTCTTTTATATAAAACTGCTTATTATTATTATTATTGATAATAATCATAATGATAATAATAACAATAGTAACTGAATCATTAATTAGTTCCAGATCGCAGCACAGATCAGTGGCAGCAGCAGATCTATGATTGTTTTTAACCTTTTTGCTCCTCTCCTCTCTCGTACATCTGATTTTGGTAGGTGCCCTGTATATTAACCCTTTACTTCCTTTATCCTGCACCTCAGCTCCTTCATCTCCATCTTCCCACTGTATGTGCCCTGTACAATAACCCTTCTCCTCTCTCCTCCTGTAATCAATTTATCATCCTTATTAAACTCCATCTTTTAACCAGCTAAGTACAAGCATGTTTCTTCATTTTCAAAAAAAAAAAGTGCCAAAAAATAAGATCACATTGGGGAGTCTACTTTCCAAAAAAGGGTAATTTCAGGAGTGTTTGTACTGTTCTGGCATGTTTATTTGATATGTTTATAACAGAAAGTTAGAGAAACTGTTTTTTTTGAATATTTGGTATTTTTATCATTTATGTAGTAAAAAAAAAAACAAACCCAACAGTTATTAAATGGCACCAAAGGAAAGCTGTCCAAAAATCACTTGGGTACAGTAGTGCATGAGTGAGCAATTGGCATTCAAACTATCACAGCACTGAAAACTGGCAAATGGCCTCAGTAATGTAGGGGTAATACAGGCTCATATTAAAGTTGATAAAATGGACACACACAACTTTGAAACTGCTGAGGTCATGGACATATATGTACAATAGAATTATGCTGAATTGTATAAAATCATGGGAGCCCTGGGTTCCTACCTGACTAGAGACACTATATGCATACATGTAATACAAGCTTATACTAAAGTTGATAAAATGGACATACACATCTCCGAAACTGCTGAAGTCATGGACATAAAAGTAAAATAGACATTTTTTTGTATATTTTCTTTTTTATTAGTTTCCAGTATACATTTAGAAAAATACAAACATACATTATGACACCCATATGAGAAGAGAAAGAAATAAAAAAAAATGACATTTACATGGACATATAAGTAAAATAGAATTATGCAGAATTTTATAAAATCATGACAGCCCTGGGTTTCTACCTTACTAGAGACACTATATACATGGAATTTGTAAGTTTTTCCTGTGTTTGCATAAGTTTCCTCTCAGTGCTGAAGTTGGCCTTTGTATGTGTATATATTGACCAACAGGAAAGGATCTCAAGGAGGCTAGCTGCATCCAAAGAAACACTAATCAGGTCAAATGCAGCCTGAGAATAGTCATCCACACTATGCAATCAAGTAGAATCTGCACACTTGCAATTAAAACATGTTTGAAATACATGTACATTTTTTTTTAAATGATCTATTTGAACTATAAGAAGCCTGCATGTGGTTCCAGAAATGCCAGTTCTACTGGAGCTACTTTATTGAACAGGAGCACAGGTTTTTGTATACTTCAGAAATAGGGGCAGTCCCCACATGAATGATAAAACAAATATTACACTTTGTGATAAACATTCCACACCGGTTAGGTAAGAACTTGATCACATTATCCTAGACAGTGCAAATGGTAAACAGTACAGCCAACAGTGATCAAATTAACAGTAAGCTAATCAACAGCCAGGCACCCAACAATGCTTTGATTAATCAGGGAGCCCATTCCAGACAGACTGGCAACAAGCCCACCCCGGAATACACGACGTCCATTACACTTGCTGTCTATCAGTTGTTTGCTTTCACTTGCATAATCGGTCTATCATAAGACGAAACTCATACAATATTCCAAAAGTTTGAAAAAATTGAATTTATCTTTATAGATTCTTGAGGAAAATTGTTGGTAAATATTTCTGTCCCAAGCCGAGGAGCTTCTCCAACCCAGTGCACAGAAGGGCCACCATATTTCATATTTCCTCTGTACAAGATTAATATTACACCTTTCCATCCACTCCAGAAGGGAAATGTTATTGTCTTTATGCAGAGAATTAATCCAAGCCTCGCTGTCAGCGTTCATCACATTATTATTCATTATCACAGACTGATCCACTCTCTCCATGTGGTCAGAGGCTGAACCGAGCTCTTTTCAATGCTTTGACCAGATGAAGCAGACAAAATCCCTGGTCTCCTCCATGGGCCTTAATAAGAAACCCCTGTCCCAGTTGGGTCTGTCACACCATCAGTCATCAAATCACAGTCATCTAGCACAGCTATTGCATGAGGAAGCAAAGCCCTATCTGAACCAAGATGGCTGTGTCACATACAGTACAGAAAAAGACATGGTAAGACAGTAATGCAAGACAAAAGTCAGCTGCAAGGAGCCTATAGGTAATACTGGTGACTAGTTCTTTGCTCTCTGCTTGCCTTTCTTGAGCACAGTTTCTATAGGTCAGGTCCTCCTAAATTCACCCAGAAAGTGGAGTGAAAACTTATGTGAAGATCTTTGTGAATTGAATGTTAGATACAGAATATTACATAACACAAAAATTGATAACATTAATGTGGTACATTCAATTAATCCATATAATAAAACCTCTAGAGAACTACAAGAAAATAAAAATAAAAATTAATAAGCAAATAATGCACATTACATGAGTATTACTTCAGTTTTGATTAAGAATGATATACTGTAGAAAGGGAACACATAAGCCTCCCTAGGACAAAAAACAATTTAGATAGGACAATTAACATAAATCTTACAAAGTATGATTTCTGAAGCAAAGATCTCTGCTGTCCAACAGCCAAGATATAGTTACCAATATTTCACAGTTCATGTTCCACTTATGAGCAGGATGACAGATAAACAGATAATCAATGTCACAGTATGACATATTGGCTGATACTTTTGTGACTTCTAGCAGAACAGAGCAGAGATGATCAGCCACAGCTCTTCATATAGTGTTTCAGATAGAAAGCTATATATATTATTTGGTGTGATAAGTAGTACTGTCAGTCAAGCTGTTCTCTCTAAAGTTTTTGATAGGTGTCATTGAAACCGCATGTGGTACAATATTATCTGTGCTTGTGGATGTTAATTGTTTTTAGGTGAATCTGTGACTGTCTTGAAATTTGTCATCATGGGAAATGAAGAGCTGGACTCTTCTGAACTGTTCTAAAGTCTGTGAGCATGATAGATAGATAGATAGATAGATAGATAGATAGATAGATAGATAGATCATTAAACTACTATATTGTCAAGGTCCTACCTTTCTTTAGAGCTTGTGCATCTCCACGTGCTGGCATCCATCTTGGGTTTCTGCAAAGCATGGTGGGAACCTTTATGCCTTCAGGCTTTTGCGGCTCCTCCTCAGAAGGGTGTGGTTGATCACATTTAAACCTGCTGTCTGCAAGTGCGCTCTGCATTCGTGTCCTGTATGTTTCCTTGTTGCAAGCTCTTGTTCTGTTCTCGTTGCTCTCCTGGTAACCGACTCGGCTTGGACAAGACTATTCACTGCTTTAACCCTTTACCTGACCTCCCGTTGCTGAACCCGGCCCGTGACCTGAGTATTCTTTGCTTACCGTCTAGTACTGTCTGCTCCGTTGTTATTGACCCGGCCTGTCTGACAACGCTACACGTGTTCCCATCTATCTCCCACCAGCTGTACGCCGCAGCTGGGGTAACTCGAGGGCTGCGACCTGGTCTCAGGCTGCGTCAAGTCCATCCCCACCATCAGGGGCCCTGGTGAAGGGTAGCCTGGGGCTTAGACTCCGCGCCCTGAGTGACTCTGGTCTGTGGGTAGTGGCTGTCGTCAGTCGCGGCGTGACCGCACCATAGGCCTGCCAGCCCATTCCATCGTTCCTGCCCTGACATATATATTGCAATTTCTAGGACAGTAGGGTGCATACGTAATACTAAATGATGGGCAAAAAGTAAACTACTTAATCTTTTCCTGTTGAAAGCCTTTCTTACTGCATATATAAAATGACCATCAGAAGAGATGAGAGGTTAAACTGGTTGTAAACCCCTGAATTTACCCAGGTGGTACACAGGGGTGAAACAAATCCTCCAAGATAAGTTGTACTTGTTTATTTGCAATATTCTCTATTCAACATTTGTTCAAAGTGCAGAATTCATACAGCTTTATGAACTTTCAGAAAGCGGGGGCTGCAATACAGGGGTTGGACAAAATTATAGAAGCACCTGGTAAAAGAATGAAATAGTTACCAAATATGGTATTGGAACACCTTGAATGGTGGAGAATGGAATCTGATAAAACTCTTCATGCAAAAATTGCTTCAGTTTTCGCAGAGATGCGGGCTGCAGAAAATAAGCTCAAATCTTGTTCTTCAAAATTGACCATAGTGGGTCTATGATATTGAGGTCCAACAACTGCATTTGCATGCTTATAAAACCATAATTTGACAGCACCAGCTGTGTGAATTGCAGCATTAGCATCTTGGTCAATGGCGCTGATCGGGAAACAATGTCTGGGGTGCACATGGTGAGCCAAAGTTTGTACATAATCACTGGCAATTACTCTACCTTTCAGAATACCCAAACCATTATTGTGCCACCATCACGCTTTACCTTTCGCACAAGACAGTCCTACTCAAAAGCTTGGGGCAGTGTTCGCCATACATAAAAATGTCCGGTGGTTAGGGACAGTGTGAAGCTCTTCATCGGATCATATTACGGTCTTCCATTGATTGATAGTCCACGATTTATGGGTGTTGCACCACTCTCTCCTCTTCTGACCATTAATATCAGTCACTAGTGGTTTGGCAATTGCAGTTCACCTGTGAATGTTTTGCTTATGAAGTTCCTTCTGCAGTTTTTGTGGACACAGGCTTCAAAAGACTGAGATTGAGTTCTGCAGTCATGTTTGCAGCAGTTGTTTTTTAATCTGGGTCACAATCCTGTGCAATGTCCTTTTGTCTTTTTCTGTCAGTTGACGTTTTACTGGAGATTGTATATGCTATCATAACTTTTGATATTGTACCTCGTGACATGGCAAATAAATTGGCAACTTCAGTCACAGAGGCACCAGCTAAGCGGGCACCAACAATTTGCCCTATTTGAAGCTCAATAAGCTCTGGCATGACTCCGTATTGCTAGTGAATGACGCATGCTGTGAATGACGAAAGTGAGGCTTCCCACTTTTTAGCTAGGTGTCTCATTACACAGCGGAAGCAAAAGAATCATTGAAGGATTACATATACCTCAAGATACTTGGCTAGTAGCCACTAATGTTGAAAGTCTATATAATACCATTCTGCATGATAAGGGACTTCAAAGAATAGCTAATACATTGCAAGAACATGGCCAGTTGGCCCACCAATATAACAAATTTGTCTTGGAATTGTTAGAGTTTATACTCACAAGGAATGTCTTTATATTTGGATGCTCCCATTACCTCCAGGTGCAAGGGGTAGCAATGGGGACAATGTGTGCCCCATCGTATGCCAACCTGTACCTAGGGGGGTGGGAGCGAAATCTTTTTCTCAAGATGATAATAATTATTATCTCAACCTGATTGTCACCTGGCATCACTATACTGATGATATACTATTGGTGTGATCTGTCCACATTTGTAAATATTCTCTGCCAAAATGATTTCAGTTGGAAATTTACTATAAGTTGCCATCTGGAGATTATTACTTTTGTGGATGTACAAATATTTGTGAACTCAGATGGATCCCTACCTCTTTTTTGTTTAGGAATCCCTCTGCTGGAAACACTATCCTCCATGTCTCAAGCTCCCACCCAGAACCTTTGAAAATGAGTATTCCGTAGAGCCAGTATCTTCAACTTAGCCAAACTGTAGTAGAGACAAGGACTTTCAGGCAGAAGCTAATGGCTTTTATGACCGTTTATACCATATAGGATACAGTCAAAAATACTTGAAAAAAGCATTCAATCAAGCTAAATCACAAAATCGTGATTCCTTGATTTATGTACCAAAAATAAACAGTGATTCACAATCTGTCAGAATCAGCACTAAACACTAAGCAACAAAAACAGGTGAGACAAATTATCAATAAATATTGGCCACTACTGCTAGATGATCCTAGCATCCAAAACATGTAAAATCTCACCCAGAAATTACTTTTAAACGGTCACATTCTCTCAAAGACTGTTTAGTTAAAAGTCACTATACCTCTAAAGAGAAAACTGGTAAACTGCAGGTAGGTTTGTTTTGCTGTAGAGCATGCATTTTTTTCAATTTCGTTCTACCTGGTCAAAAAGTTTTGCTCCCTAATGGGGATGCCCTTGTGTGTTAAAAGAGAGTAACCTGCCAAACCCCTGAGATTGTTTCTATAATGAAATGCCATTGTGGATGTTTTTATATAGGTAAAACTAAACACATGTTCTTTAAATGAATCAGAAATCATGTATCCATAATTAAAGTATGAAAAATGGAAACTCCATTTAGCCATCATGTGGGTTTATATCACAATTTTGATCCAGATATGATCAAATTCACAATACTAGAGCATATTCCCCCACATGTGTGGGCAGGTAGTGTGGATCAGCATCTGTTGCAGCTTTAGACACACTGCTTATATAATCTCAAGGCCACTCAATATCCAGGCCTAAATGATATACTATAAACCATTTCTGTAGTTCACCAATTCTTCTCTCTGTTCCTTGTCCACTGACAGGTCTCTAGATTTATAAAATAAGTGATATTCTTGGTAAATGTATTAGCTAGAGCAGGATGTGTATACTAGATAGAATAAAATGCTGTACTTTGTACTAGCAATGTATGTATAAAAGTTGAATGGTGAAGGGAATTTGGTGGACATTTTATGACCAGGATTTGCTGTAAATCTGCAGCTTGGGTCTAACCATGCTTACAGTTTCATATTTTTGTTTTTGGTAGGGTTTGCCCTTAAGTATGGGCTATATTTTATCTTTTAAATTTTAACGAGAAGAAATAACATATTCTATACAAGGCATTGTTATTGGGTGTATTTTGTGATCATATGGAGGTGCTAGACGTTTTACATGAGAGCTTTGTAGCTTCTCTTGGCAGCGCCTCTTGTTCATGCTGCCCAGGTTGGTTGGTGGGCTCAAGTTCTGTCTCTCCTCACCCATCTAGTGCTTTGATGTTCGAATTTAATCATTCTATTGCACTCTCACTGGATTTGTCAGCATGTGTATACATCCCCTACACTAGATGGTGTTGTAGTTCTGCCAGCCACCATGTGGTCTATTGTCCCAAATGGCTTTGATCAATAGGAGGTATTGATCCCCCTGAAATGAAATGCGAGAATCCTTCTCACGTTAGGACCCTGTTGACCTAGTTTACTTCAGCTTCCTCTGACGCATGCACAATAATGGTCGCTTACGTCTGCGCTCTTCCGGTGATGTCAGACTTCAAAAGGGTGGGGGGGGGGGGTATATAAGGCTGGCATCTCTGGCGGCCATCTTGCAAGAGCCATGTTGGCTGCCCTGTATACCTGAAGTCTCCAGCTTTTGTGGTAAGAATTTAAAAGAGCTTGCTGATGGAGTTTACATGCGGGTGATTATGTGATTGATAGTATACCCTGGTTTAACCTAGTGGGAGAGCATTTGACCTTGCACGCACTGAAATTGGGGACACTACGGTGAGAATTTCATTTTAACCAAGTAGCACTTGAACTCGATATGTGACTCAAAAATAAACCAAGTGAAAATCAGAAAAATTATATGTGAATCATTAAATAAATCAAAAACATCAAATAAAAAAAATTAAACCAAAAAAAATCAAAAAAGAGGCTGCTGCTACATAGGGTACTGACTCTCATAAAGTTAGCCAATAATAGTATTAAAGCGCTGGCTAAACATAATATTACCAACATATACATAGTGTCTTATACAATAACTCTTCTCAAAGTCCATGCAATCTGTTAAACCATATATGTGCTGTGATCTTCTTAAAGGAGCTAAAAAACCACACACTATGCTCCGCACCGGTGATGCACCTCACTCACCAACTTGCGTGGACTCTTAAATTTAGATAAGAGTCTAATGTGCTTAGTGGGAAAATCTCAGTATAGCTGGTAATTGTAGTTCTCCTCGGTGTGGATATGCCCTTTAGTCGTGAAGATGGTCGGATACAGCGGTCATAAGTTTAGGATTAAAGAGAGTGGCCACATAGCAAAATTCCATTTATTTAAAATTTACAGGTAAAATAAATGTATTGCACTCACATCGTTAAAAGAAATGCAGTGCATAAAGATTGTCAAACCAGAATCGGTGCACCAGTGTGCATTCCACGGAGGGAAACAACGTCACCACGGCTCTCGTAAACTGATATGTTTTACCTTTCCTACTGGGCATCCTCATAGGCTTAACTACTATTATTATTTAGGACATACACACAGCATGAAAAAGTAGTGCATCCAACACCCAAAAAGTGCCAGGGTGCACCATCTACCCCCTCCCAGACTGTGGGGAAGCACCAGGGAACCAGGAGTGAGGAAAAAAAAAAGCTTCCCTTTATCAATGCACTTGAAAGACTGGAATAACCCTTAAAGGAATATGTGCATACTATTATAATTCTTGGTGTTCACCAGTACTCGGGTCTATTCCAAAATATTCTCCCCATTCCTATTTTATAATGAATAAAGCTGCACTAAGGTCTCTTCACATCTTCATGTATGAGCTGCCAGGGAAGCTGAAATTACACACTGCAGAGCTCAGTCAGGAGAGCTCTGAGAACTGATTGGAGGGGACACACCTCCTTCACATAGCACACATGAACAGAGCTGAGACTGTCAATCACAGGATGTGAGCTGGAGATCTCTCCCCTGTCACCTTTTTAGATCTCGGTGTCAGGAAAACTTGTC